CGATACAGAGTTTTCTAAGATTAAGTATTCTATAACTTTCTCGCTTAAGCGAGAAAAGATAATATCACTCCAATTGTCCTGTTACCCAAGTAAGAAGTGGTTTGTCCAAACAAGGAGTTGTAGGAAAAAAAATAGAGCTCTATGGCGAGAATGTAAGAAAAGCTAAAGAAAAACTATTGTTTGATTTTCTCACTCAGGCAAGAAAGAGCTCGTTTAGGCAAGAATTATGTCACTCAAGCGAGAACTAGTAAGTTTTGAAGGGTATTTAAGAAAATTTCTATTCTGAAACTTGCATTGCAATCCAAAAAACATGTCTAAATTTTCTCTCTAAACACTCTCTTCCCTTTTCTCTCAAAGAAAACCCCTGAGCTCCAAACTTGTTTTGAATCTGAACTCGAACATCGATTCTATTGAATCTCTATAAGTTTCTTTAAGTTTTGTTATTCAATCTGACATTTATTTTCTTCTGTTTTCTCTTTTCTCAAAGTAGTCTCTTTCATTATATCTAAGAAGATCTTGATCTTTTGGACAATTTCTTCCACTAACCTTTTCATAAAATTATCATTTTGATGTAAGAAAAGCTCTATTTCATTACTAGAAACACGGTATGTTTTCATACTCATGAACATGTAATAGTATAATTTTGTAGATATTATTGAAAGTATTTTGAGTTTGGTTAATATATTATATGCATTTTTGTTTGAAAATATGTGTTTGAATGAGATTGTTAATGAATTATTTAAATTGATTAAGTATGTATTTTCTTTGTTCTTAATAACATGAATTATATGTTGTAATGAAAAATTACGTTTTGGACTGAGTTTGAAAGTGTATATGAAAAGTAGATTTGAGTATAATAAAAAAAAATAAGAATGAAGTTTCATTCTTAATAAAAGTACATGTGAGCTATGACTCTACAGAGGTTTAAGGGTATTTTTTGGGGGTGAAAGAATACAAAACAATCACTAGGAGGTGCAAACCAAAAAAAAAAAAAAGGAATTAAAAGTAACTCCTTTTTATTCATACCCAAATTCTAATTAGAATTGAAAGGCCTAAAATTAAAAGGACAAAAAAATAAAAATAAAAAATCTATGGTATCTAAAAAACTCTAAAAAAAGAAAACAAGCCTAGATAATTGAAAAAAAAAAAAACCTATTGCAAAAGTTCAAGCTTAATCTAAAATATTACTAATAATAGTTAGGCTAAAACTAGTTGGACTTAGAGAATTGTTAGATAAAGAAATGTATCAACAAGTTAGTAACAAGTCAAGAGGGATATAAATAAGAAGACATAATTCTAAATTATCAAGTTTTTTTTTAGACAAACAAGTCATTCAAACTTAACCTTATACTCTTTCTTAAACTTAGAACAAATCCATAATTAAATTATAATATATTTTAGTAAAATTTTTTATATAACTTTTCAAAATAAACTCTTTATTTTATTTTTAAAAAAAAATTAAATTTTTGACATAAATCTTTGTACAAATAAAAATTTATTGAGTAAACACTTAATTTAAATTGTTTACCCAAACATTGTTTGCAAATGTTAATAGATTCTTGACTCTATATATCTATCATGTCATCTTAAGAAGAAGTAAAATATTAAATTTATCAATTTTTTTAAAAGGATAAATTATATTTTAACTTCTTAAGGTTTGATAAATTATTGCTTAACACCTTTTTTTTTTACATTATAATAATTTTTTAAAACTGATAATTACATAAAAAAATCAAGAGTAATTTGTGCAATTGAAAAGGGTATGTGGTATTATGTTGTAACAAAAGTCAAGGAAATTTATGTTAGGTAAACAAAAGAAATATAAAGTGAAATTTTGTTAAGAAGATGTAAATACATTTTGCCTATTTTTTAAATATGTATCTAAAGGTACACATTAATAGTTTAAACATAATAATTATTTCTTCTTCATATTACCTATATGGTTCAGATCAACCAACCCTTTCCATTGTTCTTAATATTTTTTAAGGAACAAATTATCATGAATAGCCTTGTTATGCCTACATCAATCTTGTTTTTAAAAAACAATATTGGTTTTATCAATGGGAATATTAAAGTTCCTGCCCTCACTAACTCACTTATCAATATTTTACAACTTTATAAATGTATGTGAATGATATGATTCTATCCGAAAATAACAAAGATGAAATTGATTGAATCAAGCATACCTTAGACAGAACTTTCAAAATCAAAGACTTAGGAAATATGAGATATTTTCTTAGATTAGCGGTAGTCTGAAGTAAACAAGGGATAATAATGAATCAAAGAAAATATGCTTTGGAATTGTTATCAAAAGTAGGGCTCCTAGCATGTAAACAAACAAATACTCCAATTGATAATGTTAGTAAACTATCATGTGAAGGAGGAGAGTGATTCTGAAATGTACTTACATATAAACGACTAATATGCAAATTGGAGTATCTCACAACCACTCAACCAAACATAACCTTTTATGTACTACAACTCTCTCAATTACTTGCCAAACCATCAACAAATCATTACCAAGCTGCTCTTTGAGTATTAAGTATTAAGGTATAGCAAGGGTGTACTAAGCTTCGATTTTTTTTTTCAGTAACACCATTATTCAACTCAAGGGTTATTTTCAAGATGGTTATAACAAGCCTCAATGTTTATCTTGGAAGTTCTCTCATATAATGAAAATAAATAAAGTAGAACACAATATGAAAAAGCTCCTGTGAAGTTAAATACAAGGCAATGACAACTATTTTCTACGAAATTCAGTAGCTTACTTATCTTTTGCAAGACCTCAAAGTTATTTTTGAAAAGTCCACACTTTTATATTATGACAATGATTTTGTCAAGCATATTATCCAACCTTAATTTATACAAGTAAATGAAACATATAAAAATAGATTGTTACATTATGAGGGAGAAACTTAAAAAATATTAATTAATTTATTTATTCCCAATTTTCTTGGTTGATCAATTGACAGACATATGTTCCAATTTCCTCGAGTCTTTAATCATTTTTTTCTATTTGTCCCAGGTTTGTAAACATATGCTCCTCATCTTGCAAGGAGATGTCAAAGAATGTTGATAATAGGCTTCTAGAAGGAAGCTAGTTCGTCGTTAAGTTAGTTATTATTTTTCATTCTTTTTTGCTATCTCTTGATTTATTTATTTTTTAATTCTTTTATATATCTGAATTTTTTACTGATTTCTAGAATTCTTCCAAACCAATTTTTTTGATATAGGGGTGGAGAAGTTTGTACACAAAGAGACCTTTATTTCTATGATTTTTAATATCATCATTGTTCACATATAGCTTTACTGTTTGTGCTGTTTCAATTTTTTTTTTTCTTTTGTTAGTATGGGTGTATTATGTTGACTTGTTTTACCAAGGTAGAAAAAACTGTTGAATTTATTAAAGGAATTTATTTTCTCTGATGAAATTTAATAAAATTATTAAAAATAAATAAATAAATAGAGTCCCTCCTTCCAAATTCCTTCAAATCCAGTGAAAAATAACATAATCGAACTTAAAATAGAGAAATTGAAAACAAAAATGGAGTTGAAGGATTTACTTCAAAGTCTTTTTTTTCCTGGTCCTGTGAGTTTTGACTAATTTCATCGACATTACGTGAGTGAGACTTATCAAATAGACACATCCTAAATTCTACAAAGTTTTACTGGGACCGAAAATTTCTGTCACAGTAAATGGGAGAAAGGTTATTATGGAGTTATGGTAAGAACCACAAAACCAAAAGTGTAAAAAACAAAGGATAGAGGCAGAATGAATCTCAGCATATACTTTTTATTTTCAGAATATCCTTAGAATCTTTCAACTGAAATTGGATATTTGTCACATGTGATTTTGTTTGAGACATCGTTCTCAAGTACAAATATAACTATCTACACAATCGTTGTCACTCTTTATAACTAGTTCAAATCGGAGTCCCTAACGAATTTCAATTTTTAGCACTAATTATCCTCTATTTCATGACCAGAAAAAAGAAAAAAAAACCTCTATTTTGCGTGGCTTTATTATTATTTTTAATCGGATTTTATCAAACCCGTTTATAATTGACTTAAACGAGAATGTTACATTTCTTTAAATTGATGATCTTCAAACTCCACAAATCTGCAACGTCAAGAAATTGACTGTATTTGTAATTGCCATTATTTTAATAACAGTAGTAGCTTTATCTTCTTAAATCCATACCGTTATCATAATGAATCAGCTTACCATATCATACTAGCATCGAGCCACCGGGTGTAAGCTAGTTATGAGGTAAACAATTTACAAATAGTTTCACAAGACCTAATTCTACCATCATGCCTACTATATAGACTCAATGATTCCAAACTATTTGTACGTTACACTATCCTTGCTCATGCCCTTTCGAAGGTATATAACATTAAAGTACCTTAAACTCAGTCCATCAAAAAGTTTGTTAACACAAGCAATGAACTTCTTAAGTTACATTACTCAACCAAATGGTAAAACCTATGCTACATCAATTAACGGCATACAGGATGATTAGTACATAAGACTAGGGGAAATGAGAGAAGGAATTTCTGTTTATGTGATCTAAGTCTATATTTGGACCCATGAAACCTAAGGCAAGGCACATAATTAAACACTGGAAGTAAGGACACAATATAAAGAATGTCTCATCAAGAAAATTTATACAATTATGTGAAAACTTAGCAAAAGAGAAAAAACTACGACAGATTTTTCAAGGGATTAATGCATGAATCTGAAATGGGGCTTCAATGTATAGAAGATAGGTGATATACAATAGTCATTTGCCACCATAGTAAATACTAAATTTTCACAAAAAAAGGGCAAAAATATGAATTGGTCCATCTCTAATTAATATTGAAACTGAGGATCTGTAAACAGCATTGAGTGCAATAATATCGTCACAAAACTTTGGGAAGAAAAATATCAAATATAATTTTTAACAATTTCTACAAAGCTCAATATTTCAGGACTTACTCTAACGATCTGGTTGATAGAAGTATACTAGACTACCTGGCATGGTAAGGAATATACTAGCTGCAAGCTACTTAGACAGCTTATCAGAAGATGCAGAACCCTTTTCAACCACTTTGGTAGAACTAGCAGATTCTTCCGCTTCAACAATCTTTCGTAGTCTTTCTTGGAGAGTTCGTACTCTGTCCTCTGTCTTGCGGAGCTTTCTCCATCTATAGGCAGTCCAAAGACCAAAGCCACCATATACAACAATATAGGAAGCCCATACATAAGGGTAAGTTTCTGCATGCTCTTTGATTTTTAGATATTGTTTTTCCAATGAATCTTTCAAGCCCATAGCAGAAGGGACACTGGCTACTTGATCCTCCTCATGTTTCTGTATAGGAGGTGCAGAACTTGTTGATTTCTGGTTTTCATGTTTAGGCTGATTTGCCATGTCCTCTGCTTGTAAAGTTCTAGATGTTGATTATTTAAAGAAACTGCACAACCGTTTACATCTTTAAGTATTGAGGAAACAGAAGACAAGAACAATTGCCTCATTAAATAGCATAAGAGCATGAGTGTACAAGCAAAGGAGAAAATATTTTATGCTGCACTTGCTAATCAAGAGTAAACTCACAGCTTGTTACCAATCTTTTTGCTTGATTGTGAAAACCCAGTTTGTTTTATATATGTAAATTGTGCATATAAAGAAATCATTTCATTGTCACAAATCATATGACAATCCAAGTACTAGGAGCAAATACAGTTAAAAGCAAACCAACAAAGCATAATTATCTCAAGAGTAAATCTTCATCTTAACACTTTGATGCCTATACTCAGATAAAATGTCAAACAAAAGACCAGTTCATAAACATAAAGTAAATACAATGAGCATTCGCTCCTTAATACATACATAAAGCAAATGCATAGCGAGTGCTTGAATAACTAATGAAATAAACAATCAGTATCTTCTAGTAACATGTAGTGATAGAATATTATAATCAAATTCAAAGGTAGTATATTTAATGTGATAAACGAGGCAAAGCCATAAATGAGCCAGCAGATGGACCCCAAACACTCGAGCAGATTGCAAACAGCTGATTCAAAACACAACCACCGAATAGAAAACTATAAATTCAAAAGAGAATGACAATCATAAATTGATATCTGCCTGGTAAACTATTAAAAAATATTAAATCTCTACAAACAAATCAGAAGTTCAGAAAAAGAATCAGAACATACGCAATTAGATGAGATTGCATTACCTGCCTGATTTGAGAAAATCCTGTGGCAGCAATGAAATCAGGAAGCTGAAAGGGTTGTTTTTCAATACCTCTTTTCCCCTGCAATAACAATAACAGTTTTTATGAAATGTTAGTAATTTGTGTAGATGACTATATAACTACGGAGTTCTGCGGCCAAGCACTATCAATTATAAACATTGAAGACAAGAGGAAATCATCCCAAATAGGACTGTATGACTCATGCATGCAAACAAAAATACAACAGTAGTATGAGGAAATCAAGCAAATAGAACAAAATTTTGGGTAGTGTGCAGCATTGCAGGTGATAGTTTGAAACCTCAAACCTCCCTGCCTTGTTTTGCACAGTGAAAGAAACCATAAGGAAATTGTCCTTCTCTATGTAAATGATCCACATATTATAGCTACAAAGCTCAAAAAATAAGTCCAAGAGAAAGAACAAAGATAGTAAAAACACATTTCCTTGATCCAGTTTGTTAAGACAAAAAAATTACAAATATCAATCCATCATATCATATTCTGCAATAAATTCCAATAAGAAATCTACCCATCAACATCTAGGGAAAATAAACAAGGGAATATCTAAACCTGGAGTTTTTCTCTCTGCTTCCACTCTACCTGAGCAGTGGAAACACTCACAAACACCAAATTTCAAATCAATTGATAATAAATAATATAAAAATAAATAAATAATTGGAAAAGCAATAATTTAAAATAGTAAAAATCGTGACTCAGATTCCACACAAACATAAAATGCAGTGAATTATTCACAGAAGACAGAACCAATTACCCCAGCTTCAGAATACCAAATCCAGCACAGGTCTTATTATTTCACTAGCTTGAGCTTAAAAAATCTTGTCAATCATGACACGGCAGAAACACACACTGCAGAAAAAAAATCCACGATTCTTATTCTTCACAGATCCAACAAAAAGGAGCAATACTCAGATCACAAAAATAGCCTATTACCCCAAATTTCAAAAAAAAAAAAAAAAAAACGAGATTCATGACTGGGATTCATTGAATGTAGGGAAGAATGGAATTAAGATTCATCATACCAGAAAATGAAAAAAAAAAACCTAAAATAAGAGGTCTCATATGATTATCAGAAATCAAAATGCATGAGATGGGGATTAGGGTTTTTTGAGCCTCACCAATCATAATGGGCTGGGATTCATTGAATTTACGGAAGAATGGAATTAAGTTTCATCATACCAGAAACTGAAAAAAAAAAAAAAAAAAAAAAAACCTAAAATAAGAGGTCTCATATGATTATCAGAAATCAAAATGCATGAGATGGGGATTAGGGTTTTTTGAGCCTCACCAATCATAATGGGCCAGCCCCCACATAATTAGCCCTGACCCATCTGGACTAGGGTTTAAAAGCCCACAGGGCCAAATAGGCCCCAATCTAAAAATCCCATACGGTGTAGTGGGTTAGGGTGGGTCCATGGATAAAAGAATTTAAAAAAATGAAAAAGGAATTAGAACCATTAAAATTTGCAAATAAAAGCACCATCAGCTCTAATCCACACAGCGAGCTTAACAGAACAAAAGTTTCATAATTGAAAAGTTTACTGTGATATAAATTCATTTCAAGAATACATTCAAACAAATCCAGTGAAATTGCCTCCAAAATGAGCCGTATAAGAACACAAGGGTTTTCCTTTTTGCTCCTCCCAAAGAGCAAATCCCTTTAAAAACATAGAATAAAATAAAACCAAGGTCCATCACACAAGAAAACTGAACATGCATTACAAAATCAGGATAACACTATGTCCTTTTTGTTATTCCAATTCCATCAAAAAGTGGTTACCACTAAATGGCACCTAAACCACAAGGAAGTAATTTGTAGGCACAAGTTAAAAAGTCCTCCTTCCCATAACAGCTTCAATGAGGGCAAAAGAAAAACATGACAGAATGTACAAACAGGCTAAGCATTTCCATGTTTTAAGTTTTAACAGTGTGAACCCGACCAATGATTCAATGACCAAAACATAAAAATGAATGACATCCAGACGTTCATTTAAGGCCAGCATAAAACCCCATGTTTATAAACAATGCATGGGAACAGAATAATGTGTCAAGGACATTTTGATAAAATTATAGCAACCTTGGTAGCAGAAAGATACCTCAGGCCACACGAATAATAGAACACATCAACAACTGCTAAGATTTTTTTGGCACTCAAAACAAAGTTTTAACATTGCTAGCTTCCCAAGAAAGCCCGGTCTGAAAATGAACTAAGAAGAACAACTGGCAAACTATTTAGCTTATTTTAATGAAGCTTTGGCATTGTTGGCTTTCCAAAAGCATTAGGTCAGAAAATATGTTACTCATAAAAACTTTCTCAGCTGCCAACAAAATTATCATATACAGCATAAAGATCAAATGTGGTGATAGATTTCCACTCTATCTTCAGTATTCCTAAACATGTCTCAAGTTTGAAGTAAATCATAGTCTGAATCAATATAAACTAAAATAACAATCAAATATACAACACCCAAAAGTAAATGTACATACAATTGCTAATTCAATTTAGTTCATTTTCTAATTCAATGAACAAAGTGATAATGTATGCATACTCCTCACTCCCAAAACAGATACAAGAATAGACTAAATTCCACTTACCATTTAAAAGATGAGTTTTTCTAAATTTGATGCTAACTATACAAACCAATTACCAAATACAGAGAACCATATACATCATTCCATTACCCATAAAACAACCTATGCAACGCTGTGATTGAGATATTAGGAGTTCGTTAATAAAGAAAATGATGGATTTCTAATATCCATAACAAGTCAAAAATCGAAAAAAGAAAAAAACAATTTTAGAAATTTAAAAAGTCAGAAAATTAATCCGAAGCTAAAGCTCTGTTTGGCTGCCGAGAAAGCATTAACAGCAAGATACCCTCTCCATAGAAAATCAAAAGCAAAAAAAAAAAAACCACATTTTCGATCAAAGAAACAAATAAAAAACACCAATCAATTCATTTCCTTTCAACCAAAGACTCGATTTTCCCTTCATTTTCTCCATACTCACCTCAAAAATCAAAACCCAGAAGATGACAGTAAAAGAAAACTGAAAGCACTTTGGTGGAATTATTCGGAAGAATAATAGTAAAAGAAAACTGTAAAGGAAGGACATACCTAAAATAAGAAGAAATTGTTGAATTTAGGGTTAAACTTACGAAAGCCTTCTTCTCCTTTGGGGTTGTAAAATTGTGTTTCAGAGCGGGACACGGTGTTAGAACTTGGGAGACTATTCGGGTTGTAATACATCAAGAGAAGATGATCCATGGATCAGCCCCAATCCTGAGTACTCTACCCCTGTATGGGTTAGGGCTAAACACCCCTGTTATAAAATTGGACTGATAAAAAACAGGGCCAATTATAAGATTTTAGGGGTTAGACCATGTGTTTTAATCCCATTTGGCAGCTCTACCCATGAATATATCCCAAGCCACATGTTTTGGGTATCCACGTATTTTGGGTTAAATAATTTATCCCCGCTCTTTTCTCTTTATGGTACAATACAGTGCATAAACTCTTTGAAAAAAAAAAACAGTAGAGTGTTAAGTATTAAACATCCAAGTTCTATTATATGACGTTTAGCAATGAAAACAAAGTGAAAAAGTAAGACAAAATGTGCTATATACAAGTGTTAAGGACTTGAACTAGAGCTCAGACCGCAGACTTTGCAACTTAGAGGGAAAAAAAACAGAGAGAGAATGTGGGCATTAAAGTACCTGAACAAGGTCACCAAGCACTGAGCTCGTTGCCTTTGTGGATGGCCTATAGACAGATCTGAGAAGGGAAAGAGAAGATGATGCCAATGGAAGAGAAGCGAGGTCGAAATTTAGGGTTTGCGTGATGCGTTACTTTCCAACTAATTCAGCGTCGTCCACAGCTCCAATCCAATTCAGTGCTCTCCAATCTAATTTTAGAGTGTTTTTTTTTTTTTTTCTGAAGAAAATTTCAATACAAAGTTTGTAGCTGACTCAAATGTAATGCTGGACTTTCATGCACGTGCACCACCCCCAAAGTGTGAATTTGTTTTACTTTTCAAATATTAACTATGGACAGTTAATTTAAGATATTTTACATTTAACAAACAAATAAAACATAATAATTTGTTAAAAAAGAAAACATTTTTAATACGATAAATACTTAATTAAAATTATTTTATATTTTAAAGATGTATTAAAAATAATAAATGACTTCAAGACTAAAGATACTAGGTGATTTTTAATGTAATACACGATTATTATTAAATTAAAATATTTTTAAATTTAAAAATTAATATTTTAATTATTAATAATAATTTTTTATTATATTAAATAAAATAAATTTAAAGGATAAATTTTTAAATAAAAAAGTATTAAAAATTTCAAATTTCAAATTTCAAATTAATTTTTAATAAAAATAAAAACTTAATATTGAAAAAATTACTTGACCTAATAAAAAAGAGGCCTAACTCTTAAAATCACTCTCATTTAAAAATTAATATTCACAAATAATAATAATAATAATAATAATAATAATAATAATAATAATAATAATTATTATTATTATTATTATTATTATTATTATTATTATTATTATGTTGATAGTTTTTTAAAATAAATTTTCATGTATTTTTAATTTGATGAGTTTTGAAAGATAAATATTTTTTTATATGTTTTTAATATATGAATATAGTTTTTATAAAACCAATTTTAAAAAGATATTCTAATTTTTATTATAGAAAAACTTAATTAACTAAATATATAGTATGTTATGTGGTCAAATAAATTAATGTCAAGTTCACTAATGATGATATCATATGATCTTATAAATATTCAATTATATAATTTCTTCTATTTTAGTCCTTACAAATAATCTAAACTTTTTCATATTTATAATTAAATTATTATTAAAATTGTCCTATTTGTATTAACGTTGTTATCACTCTTTAACTTATTTATATTCATAACCTATAGTATTAGTCACACCATTCATAAAAATGCCTATGATATTAGACTTTTTTAAAAATAATAATAACATACTCTCTTGAATGCATTCCTTATTATTTGTTAAAATTTATTAAAAATTACAAAAATAATATGAATCTCACTTTTTTTATTTTTAAATTATTATTTTTTATATTTTTTAATTTTTAATAAATTTTAATTAATAATAAAAAGTGTGTTTGAGAATGTGGTGCTAACTTTCCTCTAAATCTTTTTTTCACGTAAAGGAAGATGAAGACAAGTTCTAACTTTTCACCAGCGATAATCAGTCCAAGTTTGATAACTACACCAAATTCAAACCTTTTACTCATAAGATAATCCTTTTACTATGAACGCATGGCGAGAAGCGAGGATAACACAACCCAGTGAACAACAACATACTCCAGCAGTTATGAATCAATCTTAATTGTACCGTGATCACCTAAAGAATCAAAGAAATAGGTTCTATGGACTGCACCATTAGGCCTCCTTGCTTGTCCCAAAAGGTCCTCTTTCATCAATGGCTCATGAACTTCGAAGGCAATGAGAAAATTTTATAAAATTTAAATAAGAAATTAGTTGTCATAAATAATAATAATTGAAATTAGTTTTTTTTTTTTTTTTTACCTCTTAGATTTCTTTTACTTTTTTAGTTTAATTTATTTTTTGTTTAATCTCCATCCCCATGTGATTTAATAAAATATATATATATATATATATATATAACAGTCTTTATTAGTGACCATGTTAGGAAAAAGAATTAAAATAAAAAATATTTATAAAAACATAAGACTAAAATTAAAAATTTTATAGGAACTAACAAAATTTAAAAAAAAAAAAAAGATAAATTTAAACCTTACTTTTACCCTTTGTTTTTTTGCATTTTGACATTTCCTAATATAAATACTGTAACGTTCAAAATTTTTAAGTGTCTATTTTATGCTATTAATTAATTTTCTTGATTAATTTA